ACGTAACATATAAACCTTCCTTAGGTTGTGTACATTGTTATTCTATGCGAAATCGACATCACGACTACAAAAATATTTCTAAAGTTACCACTAGATGGCGCTAATAAATTAATTTAAAAACAGATGTAATAACTATTAGTTTCTAAAATGTAGTTTGTAACACTGGTCTGTTAACTACAAAAATACTATGAATAGTTAATGGACTTCAGTGTATTTATGAAACTTTCATTAAGTTATATACACATAATAAATTTACATATTGGGAATAATAACAAAAGACCCGTTCGGTAACGAAAGATTTGTCTATACATAAAAACGTTTAACGACGCACATGTACACCTAAACAGATTCTATAAACAATAAAATCATAATTTTAACACCGCTAAGGAAAACATTCCTCCTTCAACTTAATTTAAACCCCATCCTTACAAAAAAGTTCCTGGTTTATAATTAATTTATTCAAAATTTACAATCGAAAAGGTGCTTCTTTTATGAGGTCAATATCTTACAGTTAATTATATATTTTATTAATAGTACCCGAAAGAGTTTGTGACATGCGGTATTTCTGAAGGAAATGGTGTCACAAATAGTATAATTTATCTATAATATAAATAACTGAAAATGTTCGAATTAAGTTATTCTTACTTAGTTTCATAAACAACTATGAATTTCTGAAAATGTAATTGTCTATACCCCGGTAAGACTTGACGTTTGGTGGATAAATGTTTGAGTCTGACCTCATATTTGGAAGCTTCTAGATCGTTCGGTATTAGACTTGAAGTTTGATCGGATAAATCCACCACTGGTTTTTATAGTCTGACCTCATATTTGGAAGCTTCTAGATCGTTCGGTATTAGACTTGAAGTTTGATCGGATAAATCCACCACTGATTTTTATAGTCTGACCTCATATTTTGAAGCTTCTAGTTGATCCTTCGGTAAAGTAACCCTGATCTCGAAGGAACAACAACACGGAAAGTTGCTGATCACATAGTATTAAGATTGTTGGCTTTCCATGAATTAAAAAAAAGGATGCCTTTCCTGACTATCATCTAAAAATCTTAATACTTCTACTAAGAGTTACTTGGTTTAACTACAAAGGTGGAGCGGGGGCAAAAATTGAAAAGGCTATGAAAGTTTTCTTTTTAAAACATAATATTGCACACCTACGCATATATATATATATAAATATATATAAATATGTATATATATTAAGAAAATTTTGTAATCGGGTTTAATAGATCAAAACATCCCATGGAAACTTACAACATAACTTTCTTGTTGTTTTCAATGCTCAAAATTCTAATTCACTATGCAGGATAAAAAATAGTAAATGTAGTAAATGATCCGATACTAAGAAAAATATTGATAATTCAGTTGTGTTTATGCTACTTGTTCAGTATAAATAACTCATTATCATGTATTTATTATCTAATGTTGACTCCTCCAAATGATGGTTTCATATACACGCTAACCATAACATGCCCATGACTATATCCCTCCAACAGGTTAGAATGTGGTTAATAATACCAAGCGAGCTAAGAGAGAGAGGGTTAAATAGAGAGATTCAGTAATAATAATAATAAAGCACAGATTTCCGTTATTAATAAATATTTCAGGCATAAGAAAGCAAAGTTAACCTCTGACGAAAATCATGCAGGTTCTTGTTATCCGATTCGAAAATTAGGACGAAACAAAAACACATAAAACAGTTAAAAAATATTATTTATTTTCGGATACATTACCAAATATAAAAGAAATAAATCACAGGAAAATATGTAGAAGAGCTTCTGCACATGCGTGTAAAGTTTCTTGTGGACTGGATAAAACGACATGTTGGAAGTTCTTAATACAGCAGGTAAACCAACGGTTGTGACCTACAGTTGTGAGAAATATGAGCAGAAACAGCTCGGGTTACCAAAACACTTTGATGACACATTCCTAACCTGTTGTGCAGGGCATCCAAATCCACACATGCTTTACAAGCTGGAAAGAGGGGCGGAGATCATGCACGAAATTCTGTGCACATAAACCGTGTATAAATAATTTAATGGCTTCTATAAGGCAACATCAACAGTTTATTCGACCTAAGATGCCACTAGATGACTATTACTTAAAATGATCATGTTAAATGAAAACTGGTGTATTATAGTCTAATCAATTTCACAACACGGGATTGACAGGAAATCCCCTGTTTTTTATCAATTTGACTTCGTACATCAGTACAGCTATTATGTACGTAATGATTAATATAAGCATATTAGCAAGTTCAAAATTCAGGTCCACTTTTTAAAGACTATTGGATGCGACATCTACAACACCACCAGTAAACCATTTCAATTAACTGTTCAGTTCGGACTCGTGCACGCAAGAATAGACGTCAGTAAATGTTACTGTGACCTTTGAAAAATCGAACGTTACACCTAGATTACGTCAAGAAACGTTACAACGTAAACCTAAACTACCATGTTTCTAATGCTGGAAAGAAACCACAAATTATAAATCTTATTGCAGACTACTGTTCCACTGAAGACATGACATCAGAAGTTAGCGCAGTTATAGACGGTCATATTTTACAATGAGATACGTCTTCAGATATTAGCGTAAACACAAGTTGTCAAATTTTATATTGTTTCTATCTCTTACGGAAAATATGTCAAAAAAGGTGTTAGGGTAGTGCTGGTGTGTCAAATCTCTCACTGAAGATACGTCACAAGGTGTCAATGTAATCCTGACGTGTCATATCTCACACTGAAGATACGTCACAAGGTGTTAATGTAATCCTGGTGTGTCATATCTCACACTGAAGATACGTCACCAGGCGGTAATGTAATCCTAATGTGTTACATCTATCATCGAAGATGAGTCATAAGGTGTTAGCGTAATCCTGGTGTGTCATATCTCACACTGAAGGTACGTCACCAGGCGATAATGTAATCCTAATGTGTCACATCTATCATTGAAGATGAGTCATAAGGTGTTAGCGTAATTTTGGTGTGTCATATCTCACACTGAAGGTACGTCACCAGGCGGTAATGTAATCCTAGCGTGTCACATCTCTCATTGAAAATGAGTCACAAGGTGTTAATGTAATCCTGGTGTGTCATACCTCCCACTGAAGATACGTCACCAACGGTAGTGTAATCCTAGTGAAAATATGTCAAAAAAGGTGTTAGGGTAGTCCTGGTGTGTCACATCTCTCATTGAATATACGTCACAAGGTGTTAATGCAATCCTGGTGTGTCATATCTCACACTGAAGATACGTCACCAGGCGGTAGTGTAATCCTAGTATGTCACATCTTTCACTGAAGATGCGTCACAAGGTGTTAGTGTAATCCTGGTGTGTCATAACTTCATGCTGAAGATATGTCACCAGACACTAGTGTAATCCTGGTGTGTCATAACTTCATGCTGAAGGTATGTCACCATACACTAGTGTAATCCTGGTGTGTCATAACTTCATGCTGAAGGTATGACACCATACACTAGTGTAATCCTGGTGTATCATAACTTCATGCTGAAGATATGTCACCATACATTAGTGTAATCCTGGTGTGTCATAACTTCGTGGTGAAGATATGTCACCAGACATTAGTGTAATCCTTGTGTGTCATAACTTCATGCTGGAGATATGTCACTAAACACTAGTGTAATCCTGGTGTATCATACCTTCATGCTGAAGGTATGTCACCAGACACTAGTGTAATCCTGGTGTATCACAACTTCATGCTGAAGATATGTCACCAGACATTAGTGTAATCCTTGTGTGTCATAACTTCATGCTGGAGATATGTCACTAGACACTAGTGTAATCCTGGTGTATCATAACTTCATGCTGAAGATATGTCACCATACATTAGTGTAATCCTGGTGTATCATAACTTCATGCTGAAGGTATGTCACCATACACTAGTGTAATCCTGGTGTGTCATAACTTCATGCTGAAGGTATGTCACCATACACTAGTGTAATCCTGGTGTATCATAACTTCATGCTGAAGGTATGTCACCATACACTAGTGTAATCCTGGTGTGTCATAACTTCGTGGTGAAGATATGTCACCAGACATTAGTGTAATCCTTGTGTGTCATAACTTCATGCTGGAGATATGTCACTAAACACTAGTGTAATCCTGGTGTATCATAACTTCATGCTGGAGATATGTCACTAAACACTAGTGTAATACTGGTGCCTCATAGTGAAGATATGTCATATCAACGTGATCCTATAACGTCATAATTCACACTGAAATGCTCTATAAGTTTTTGTCCAATATTCGGCACGAGGAAACGTGTCTGCTGATCATGTCTATGCTTATTACGGGTTCATTCATTTAGGATATACATTAATGAGAGACATTTCTTTCATAACGTTCGAAATAAACACTCTTTGGCCTTCAAAATGAAACATGATTTTGGGTTAATACAGCTAAGTTTTCCAAAACCTTAAAACTTCATCCGGGGATCTTCCCAAGAAACGCACAAAAACAACAACAACACGATAACAGTTCAACTGATTTACCAAGAGATCATCCCTTAGCACAAGAAGCTTATCCCAACAACAACATAACAATCAGTGTAAGATGCAGATTTTGTAGTCTTTACTTAAACAGCAGTTGAATAATTCAGCCCCAAGCAACTGTATTCTTGTGATTCTCAGCACACAGACTCGCTGGAAAAATTAGGAAACAAATCAGTAAATTAAAACACCCAAAATTATACATATCTACATTGTAATCTTTGTCGCAATGTTTATAATAGTACGTAATGACAATAATTAATGGTATAGTAAGTAGTTAAAGGTCTCCACGATTTTGCTATTGTACGATTTATCACATTATATACTTTGTTCTACTTTGGCTAAGATCAAATCATGATAATACGAAATCACAAAATAGCCCTAATTAATAATCACACGGTGGATTACTTTTTTCAGAACAAAGACACAAATTAAGGGTGCTTTTCCCAGTGCATTCCAACCGTAACCGAGTTCCCCTTTCACAATACAGCGGAACGGTGTTTCGAATGAGTGGACGACCGCAAGTGATTCGGCTTAGTCGTACGAAGAAAAGATTGGTGCAGTGCATTACGGAAGAAAGGGGTGTTTCGAAAACTCTTGGTTCGTGAAATAGTACGAGATAGAGGTGTACGTTCCATAGGGGGTGGAATTGGAATAGAGGTTTCAGACAGTTGCTTACGTGATCCGGAGGGCTTCTTGGAGCTCTGCCACTTGGTCAGGTACTGATGGGGTTTTCTGCCGCTATAATCTCGGATAGAAGGGTCGGCAGCTGAAAGAGAGACATTGTTATTTATACAAGCTGTCTAACCAAACTATACAGAAAATTACATTATAAATCTACAGACGCTCGTGACAGGATAGAATAAGTCATTTGGACAATATCACGGCTGTATAAATTGACAACACAGCACCAACTTTTAAATCACCTGTGTTAAGCACTATCTTTTTCTGTTTTTATCGTTCAGAATTGTTACACTGATATTATCAGGTTTGAATGGGCGGTTCATGTCTCACAATATTACTATTATTTATTGGGCTAATTGACTTAGCGTGTATAGATCACGAGTAAATACGATATTATTATTATTATTTATTGGTCTTGCTGGCTTTGAATAGAAAGGTCATGTGTAACTACATTATTATTTATTGTCTTGCAAGCTTTGGATAGATAGGTCACATGTAACTTCTTTATTATTTATTGTCTTGCAAGCTTTGAATAGAAAGGTCATGTGTAACTACATTATTATTTATTGGTCTTGCTGGCTTTGAATAGAAAGGTCATGTGTAACTACATTATTATTTATTGTCTTGCTGGCTTTGAATAGAAAGGTCATGTGTAACTACATTATTATTTATTGTCTTGCAAGCTTTGGATAGATAGGTCACATGTAACTTCTTTATTATTTATAGGTCTTATCAAGTAAGGTAACACTAATAATTTTCATATTTTTGTATCTTTATATTTAGACAATTCTCTTTCAAAAAAGTAGTGAAAATATAGGTGGCCACTTAAAATTTCAAACCTTGCGTTAATGTCGATGTATTTACCTGCTGCATCGCGTTTATAGTTTAGAGAGGCGTTTTTTTTTGTTCTACATAAGAGAACAAGGGTTAACAGTATAAGTTAGGTTATTGTCTGGTAGCGACATCTATAAAAATGATTCAAGATAATAGACGTTTATTTAAAAGAAGTTACAAAATTATGTTCAATAGCTATATGCATACAAAAATAATTTTTCTGCGTACTACTTTTATACTTGAACCTTATAACGCTTAAATCTGCAAACTTGTACTTAGTAACTTGGTTAAAGAAATTAAACTTACATTATTGCGGCAATGATCATTAAACTGAAAATATGCAAAATAGTAGTTCAAGCATTAAATATGTATTATAGCGGCCCTGTAAATGTGGGCCATAGGTCCACGGTTTCGCTAGTGCTATTCTAGAATATTAAGTACAGGTTGACCATCACTAGTCCGGCAATTAGTAATCCGGCACTAATTTCAGCTAGAAATTAGTGTACCTGTGCCTGTATTTCATTAAATTTTTCATTGAATTTATTTGATAATTATCTTTTCTTTATTAATCAACTTGTACTGTTTTATGGGATATTTTAATTTTAAGATGAGGTGGTTAGCTAGTGGGTTTGGTGTATTCTAACCTAACAGATGGCTAATCCGACACGATCCAGGTCCCGATGATGCCGGATTAGTGATAGTCAACCTCGGTAATTACTAGGCCTACATATTTACGTGCTTTAATGTAAATTAATGTTAAATTCGCAGGCCGCTTTCGGGGAATCCCCGAAAAAGAGTTTTCGCGAAATACCAGGGATCCCCAAAGGGTTGGGTGAAAAGTTTTACCTTTGTGCAAACCTCTGGGCCGAGAAGATTCGTTTGACATCACTTAGAAGTTGGTGAGTCAAGCAGATTAGGAGAATGGTTTTGGGGAAATCTCCTGTTCCCCAAGGGATGGGAAAAATTTTAATTCTGTGCAAATTTCGGGACCGAGACGATTCGTTTGGTACCATTTATAAGTTGGTGAGTCCAGTAGTTTTAGTTGTTTGAAGTTAAGCACAAAGCTATACGATGGGCTATCCGTGCTCTGCCCACGACGGGGATCGAAACCCGGTTTCTAGCGTTATAAGTCCGCAGAAATGCCGCAGTGCCACTGGGGGGCCAGTTCAGAAGGAGTTACGTGACACAGACACTGAATCTTATTATAAAGATTAACAAAACTGTTGAATCTCAATTGACATGAACGACACACAAAGCATGAATAAAAACAAACAAAACATCTCCATGTGAGGCTAGCAGGAAATAATAAGTATGGTAGCTTCCAGCGGTGTGTCATATGCCAATTGTTTCGGTTGGATATAGGCCTAGTAAACAGGTATAAGTACGTCTTAAAGAAATAAACACTGACTCGTCAGTATGTAGTGACTTGTTTGTTTGTAATTATGC